GTTCTCTGTCTTTCCACAGCTTGATTACAAAGTGAACTCTTGTGGGCCTCACTGAGTTTTCCTACTTCAAGCTCCTCAGACCAGATAACCTGTTATCCTACCTGCAAGGCATTTATTTTCTTCTTCCTGCTCAAATCTGTTGAGCCACTAGCGAATTTTTTTTCTTTTAACTGAAAGTTACTATACTTTTCAACTCCAGTATTTCTTCTCTGAGTCCTTTTTACAATTTCTGTTTATTCACATTTTGTGCTTTCTTTGATTACAGAACAGAGCATTTCCTTATACAAGTATTTAAGTCAACTACTTTTAAAAGAGTGGTTATAAAGCTCATATATAGCTACTTACCATTAACCAGACACTTGAAGAAATATGATTTTACAACTAAGTTATAACTAATTACACAGCTGAGGGAAAATCAGGCAGGAACTGAAGAGACGAAAATATCCAAATTTTAATGGTGTAAGGGTCAGAACACAATTGTGTAAACTACCAAATGCGTTTGGTAAATATAATATTTAAAGAGAACCTTCCCAAAATTAAAGCCTTAAATGAACATTTATAAATGCATGGTTCAAGAGAAAACAGAGAAGTCGAAGACGACCATAAGTAAGAGAAAGACCAGTGGGTATTCAAATTTTATCTAGTGCTCTTCTTATATTAATTAATAGCAAATAATGTATTGCATACTTACTATTTGCCTGACTCAACCCTCAGGCATACACACAATCCCATGAGATCGGCACTACTACTGTACATACAGAAAAGATGTGGAAGGTTAGGCTTGGAGAGAATAAAATACTCGCCCGGAGACACAGCCAACAGAAACTGAAGCCAACAGTCAAACCTGAGTCATCAGATTCCAGAACCTGAGCCCTTAAGCTCCACCCAACAGCTATAAAGCAGCTGAGTTCTAACAAGACCCATCAACGGGAGGTATAAGCCCTCTGGCATCACAGTACTAAACATGGAAAGCCCAGGGCACAGAACGTAATAAACTTTATGTCAAGAAGGATTAATTTTATTTTTCTTTAAGATTTTATTTATTTATTCATGAGAGACAGAGAGAGAGAGAGGCAGAGACATAGAGGTAGAAGCTGGCTCCATGCAGGGAGCCTGATGTGGGACTCGATCCCAGGATTCTGGGATCACGCCCTGAGCCAAAGGCAGATGGTCAACCACTGAGTCACCCAGGTGTCCCAAGAAGGATTAATTTTAGCTCTCTCAGTCAAAATGCATTTTTGAGAAATCCCACCAGCAAAGCTAGTGAAGCAAACAAGCTCATTTGAGGTATAAAGAACTGGCTGAGGAAAGTAACTAGCAAATAAAAAATTTACAAATCCTGAGATCCTAAGGCCTTCTGTAACCTCAGACCCCCAACAGGAATACAATACAAAACCTTAAAAAAAAAAAAAAAAAAAAAAAAAAAAGATAAATCTGTACTACTAACATTGTAGTAAGGTAGTCTGAGAAGTATTATCTATAGTCCTTCTGACTTTTCTAGAAGTCTGAAATTATACAGAAAGAAAAATATTTAAGAAAAACTTTACCAATGAGGCAAGATCTGAGATCAGTTTAAGTGATCCTCTGAATTACTAATCCTAATATTGTATTCAATAGACAAGAATGCCTATGTAGTATTTTTTTAAGTAAATAAAACCTTCAGTTTGCCTTACACATATCTAATGCACAAGAGTTCTTCAATATGAGTATCCCAAATGTAATCTATTCCAGTCTTAAAGAGTTTGCTTTTGTCTTACCTCAGTAAATCAATGTTCAAAAATAGTAAAGATAACAGCCCAGAGGAAAATCAATTTGAAGTCTGTTTCTGATTCTATCTACATTTACCATTGATTCTCTGATACCACAATTAGTATCAACAAAATAAATGAATAAATAAGCCCAAATCACACACAAGGCAATCAATAAAGAATTGGTGGTACTTTTAAGGACCTCTTTAAAAACACAGATGCATACAATGGATTAGTGGTATAATTAAAGACTACTTGAAAAATCTCATTGCTAGAAAATGCAAACTAATCTCAAGACAAAAGACAAAAATATTACAATTTAGAATTTAGGTGCTAAATTTTAAAAAGATAATTAGCTGGTTTGTGGCTCTATTAGTTGGTAGACCAGCTGGTCTCAGTCAGGACACTGAGTAATTACTGAGAAAGTAGAATGTTCCTTGTTTAATGTTATGCTCACCATACGATAGGAGGATCTTGAAAGAAGCATGAGCCACAACTTAGCTTTTTAAAATAATCAGGCTAAAATATCACAAAAACTATGTATGTTCCTCTCAACAACAGGAGGTGTAATGAGCTTAGTGATAAGGAATAATACCAGTGAAACCTAAGAGATACAAGTCTAAATAATGTATGCAAACCTTAAGAAAACAAAGCAAAACAAATTAAAATCTTGACAGAAGGCAATTTTTATAAAATGCATACAAAAACTAAAATAATAAAATAATCTAAAATGCTAGAGATTACGTGGATAGCAGGGCAGAACCTGGGGTAGGTGCAAAATTCCTCATCTAAAAGACAGGAGTGGATTAAAGAAATTGGTTTATTCCTGACATTGGCATTTAGAAAAATACAGGTTAAAATAGGTTCTGAAAAACTTCAAAGTGACCATTAGTAAAATGAAAGCAGAATAGGTTTCAAAGCTTTCAGCTCATGTTTTTTTTTAAAAAGATAGCTTATTTAGCTAAAGAAACACAGAGCATAGAGGCCCCTGGGTGGCTAAATGGTTGAGGGTCGGCCCTTGGCTCAGATCATGATCCCAGAGTCCTGGGATCGAGTTCCACATCGGACTCTCTGCAGAGAGCCTGCCTATGTGTCTGTCTCTGCAGAGAGCCTCCCTCTGCCTATGTGTCTGTCTCTGTGTCTCTCATGAATAAATATATAAAATCTAAAAAAAAAAAGGAAATAAACAGCATATAAAAACCTTTCTTCTTAATCTATAACTTCACTGGGACGCCTGGGTGGCTTAGTGTCCGGGGACCAAGTGCTGCGTCAGACTCCCTACAGGGAGCCAGCTTCTCCCTCTGCCTATGTCTCTGCCTCTCTCTCTCTGTCTCTCATGGATAAATAAAATCTTAAAAAAAAAAAAAAAAATCTGTAACTTGTGTGACCCCTATAAATATTTTTAAAAACTTTTGACAGACCTGACAAGTAGATTCTAAATTCACATCTATGTAGAAATGTGCAAAAACAGCATGGAAAATTATGGAAAAAGCCCCTACCAGATATCAAACTGTAAAGCTATGGTTACTTAATATTGATGAATAGCAAACAAAAACATTAAACTCAGAAAAAGGGAGTCCAGAAACAGACTCAGGTGCACGTGGGAATGTGGTATATGGTAACCATGGCAAAACTAATATTGGGGGAGGGGCAACAATCGAATCTGTGACTCTGCACTACTCTCACTTTTCTCTAAGTCTGAAATAATGTAAAAATAAACAGTGAAAAGAAAAATAATTTAAAAAATGCAATCACAGATGCATGATAACCAAATGTATAAAATCATCCCATGATTCAAGTCTAGAAAGACAGACAAACCCACCAGAAAAATGGGCAAAGCATAGGCACAGCAATTAGTAGAATAAAAATAACTGATAAACATGAAAAGCTGGTCAAATTCAGTAGGAACCAGTAAACCACAATACAGGAGTAAAAACCCTTCCTAGAATTCTGGTAGGAGTGCTACCTTCCTAGAACTCCGGTAGGAGTGCTACCCAGGTGGAGCAGAAACCTCAGAGGGCTGACTGAAGGGTGCTGGAAAGGGTAGGACCAAAATGGAAAGGCTACATTCCCCAAGAGCAAGCAATCCCGTCTCCCAGGACTGACCCTGGAGAAACTCACCAATGTGCACAGGCAGGTACAGAAAAGGATGTTTTTTTTTGATGATGTTCAAAAGGTCTACACCTACAAAGACCATAACCTCTGTCAGCAGAAGAGATGCTACAAAAAGTGGGGTGTCTACATCTATCACGTGCAGTAACAAAGGACAACCATAACGCCATGGAGGAACTACCAGACACAATGAGCCACCTGCACCTGTAGGTGCCACCCGGTCCTTCAAAAGCTCCCCCAACACTTGACGGGATGAGCACTGGGTGTTATTCTGTATGTTGGTAAATTGAACACCAATAAAAATTAATTTATAAAAAAAAAAAAATAAAAAAAATAAAAAAAAAAAATAAAAAAGCTCCCCCAAAGCCATCCTCTGCGGTTAGCTCTGCTGCCATGCATATTTTAAAAGCCACTGATTCCAGCACAACTGGTCTATCAGAAACCACGTGAGCACAACATGAATTTCATGACGGCTTCCATCAAGTTCATCCATCAGAAAGTAAGTGAGAGGAGGAAGCCATGATAGGAGAGCACAAATCACCAACACCAGCCGCCTCCCGCCATGGCCACAAGCTCCCATCAGGGCTTCTTCAAGGTAAAAGCCATATTTGCTCCAGAATGCAAGGAGTGCTTAACCATTTAACATGTGTCAACAGTGCTTGAGCTTCTGTGAAGTTCAGGGTCAGAGGACCTGTGGTCTTAACTGTAGGACTGAAAACACACATGCTGCCTTCCAGCAGAACTCACTGTATTTCAATAGGCAAATGGCATATTACACAGTAACTTCACTGAAACAGTTGGCACCTTAGTAAGTCCAAGTGAGTTTAGCTTAGGTGGTAACCTTGAGAAGCCACAGAATGCAATGCTGCCTCATGAGGTTAGGAGGACAAACTGGGAGCCCTGGCCCTAGCTTTGCCATAAACCTGGGCAGGAGTTTCCCACCATTAAAACCAGGATAATAATGTTCCACTGAGCACATACAGCTATACTGCTCAGCAGTACATGGCTTTCAAAGCTCTGGACAAATACGCATCGTTGAGTGAAGGGGAAACAGCTGTCCTGGGGCCCATGCCCCCCCCCGCCCCCACCCCCAGCCCACCCCCCTCGAGCCAGGTGTGAGGCTGGAATGGCATTCCTTACTTCATGGTACGTGTCCTCGAGCTCCCCATCATAGATCCAGCGGTACAGGAAACTCAGCACGGGGTGTGACACCAAGCTGAGGATGTGCTGCACCAGCGACCTCACATATGGGTCCCCCGTCTTCGTGTATGCGTGCACGGCAGAGGCCAGCTCACCCCCCTTCCTTCCTGTGGAACACACATGGACAACAGGCAAGTTACTCTCCCGGGACAAACCGTTCACAGCACACAAACCAAAATACCCAAAGAATCAAGATGCAGTACATCAGTGTCCTGGCTATCACTCTGGTCATAGAAGTGGCAGTGAGCCTGTCACAGAACCAAAAGAGCAAGGGATGGCTCCCAAGTCATCACACATGCACCTGCCTCCCCAGGGCCGCTCCTGAGCTTTTTGGCAGCAAAATTCTGGTTTGCTCTTCAAGCTACAGCATGATTTTCACCTTTCCTGACTGAAACACGTGTTAAAATTCACACTAGATACTGCACTCCAAGATACAAAAGAATACTCCTAAAACATAAAAGTTCTACAAGAATACTTGTATTTTACTGCTGTCTGTTTCCTTCCGGTTTTCTGTGGATGTCGTGCTAGTCTCCACCCACTAAACCGCAGCGGCTGAAACTTACCGACTGAAACACCCTGCTTTATGTCCACAGTGCCCAGTATCCTGGGAGCACAGCTCAGTACAGAGTAATGGCAGTGACAAAAATCAGGTCCATAAGCACATGAAATGTTTATGTTAAGAATGATTTTCCTAAATCACTGAAAGAAGTTAGGGAAGGACTGATGTGGTCTGATGGAGGGGCACAGATGTCAGGCAGCCAAAGGAGCAGGAGGCCCAGGACTGGAGGAGCTAAGTGAGCCCTGGAAGGGGAAAACAGAGGAGTCTGGTAGGATCCCACGGGTGGGGGGCGTGGGGGGGTGGGGAGTGTCCGGCCTCGGAGAGAATGACACGCTCATGCACTGTCCTCCAAGGCTTTCTCTTTGAGGGAAGATGCCAGGAGGTAGAAAAGACGCTAGGAGGTGGGGCAGGCAGGGAATGCACGGGTGGAATGGTGAAGCTGGATCCAGACATGCTGAAGTTCTGCCCTAGCTAGCATCACCGAGTTGGACGGTGGCAGCAGACATGGGACCATGACCTAGGGGCTGACCCCTGGCTTCGCACGTCTCACTCAGGCCTAATGATCCTAAGAGGTAGAGGCTGTCAGTGTTCAAGCATTACAAAGAGAAAAGACAAAGAGGTCTTGGGCAAGGCAGAACAAACAGTGAGACAATACGTTCAGAAAGCAACTAGAAATGCAGACCAAGAGCCTAGAAGAGGCCTCAGCCAGACACACATACTTGACAATGTGTAGCACACAGCTGGAGAGCCTGGATGTGGGCCATAACCTCACGAGGAGAAACCCCACAAGAACGGCTGCTCAGTCAGAAACAAACAAAAGAGGCACAGAGATGAACAGTTACAGCATCAAGGACCACAAAATCCTTAACACTAGACCCTCTTCTTTCTTCCTTCATTTCAACGATATACAAAGCTTCCATAAATACAAAGACACAGGAGCCATGTTCACAACTGGTTGTTCCCCCCCAAGTTATCTATTAACTTGTATGTAACTGGCATACTTCTGGCTCTTCTACAAAAAAGATACAGGAGATCAGGCACAAAAATAAATGTGTGTGACGTTCCCTAAAACCCGCCCTGAAACAGAACAGGTCCATGAGACAAAGAACAACCTTGGCAGTGGTCCACCAGGGCCGCAAGAGTCTTCAGTCTTATCTTGGGGTCGTAAGTCCAAACCAGGAGGCGCCGGAGGGTCAAGCTATTCTCAAGGCCCAAATTCACACCCTGATCATCTTCTAACTGTAGCTAAGAAACAATAAAGACGGAATATTTAAGTACAAGTCACCAAATACATCCATCATTTCTTAATCCATGTAAAGTGAATGTAGAGAAGGGATCTTCTCATAAAACTGAAGCAAGAGGTCCCTTCAAGCTATTAGTGATCTGTTTACAGGAGAGGCGGAACCCTGACAATTAGCATTACTTGCCTCTCCTGAAGCTTTAGGGGTATCCAGACCATACAAACAGTATTAGCAAACAGATTTTTTATCTTTTAATAGCAATAATGAAAAACCTTAAAAATTCCATATAGTTGCAGTTTTGTAACACTGCAAATCACAAAGAAATTAAAACACAAAGTTTACCTGGGAATGTAAAACAGAGAGCAATCGGTAGTACTCTTTTAGTTCCTGATGCAAGGCAGCACAAAAACTCTGCAGGAAAAAGTAGGTGTCATGAGCACAACACAGTCCTCACACATCGACCCACAGGAACTGTGCAGGCACAGTGCTTTACAGCAGTTTGGGGGTTCCGCATGACTTAAATTCTGGTTCTGTCAATAGTCTCCCCACGTTCAAGCACCACAACATCTATATCTATTGATGTTAGGAAGCTATTATCCCTTAGCAATGAACTTTGCAGAAAAGGAATGAAAAAATCAGGTTACAGCAAAGAGTGTATTTACTTTAGACAATAATCTTTTAAGATTATATTCCTTCTTGGGGATGCCTGGGTGGCTCAGTGGTTGAGCATCTGCCTTCAGCTCACGGCGTGATCCCATCTGGAGATTGAGTCCCACATCGGGCTCCCTGTGAGGAGTCTGCTTCTCCCTCTGCCTATATCTCTGCCTCTGTCTCTGTGTCTTTCATGAATAAATAAAATCTTAAAAAAAAAAAAAAAAAAAAAAAACTATGTTCCTTCTATTTCTTCAGAGTAGAGTTTACCAAAATTTAAAAACTAGCAACACCATGCCAGTTTCTCCCAATTTCTCACTGTTGTTTGTACCGCTCATTCTCCCCACCCACATTATTAAAAACACCGTGGACCTCTGTGATCTTAAATACTGCAAAAGTGTCAAATCAGAAGCTGTGAGAAAGACCTTCACATAGTCCTAAGACAAAAACTTCCCAGAATGAACTCTAGGATGGAAAACCAAGCATATTCAGTGGGAAGAACCTGCAAATGAAAAAAAAGTTTTCTTTAAACACCAGCCTCTACACTTTTTTGTGTATTTTAAAGTGATACGCAATCCATCAGCTCTAGGTTTATTTTAATGCACTTACATACTCTTCTGTGTTCACACTCCACCAACAGCTACTGTGAACAATTTGTAGTATTTAGTTACCTCTGTCAATACACACTGTGGTCTCTCTTTTCCTGAGTGGACCACGAAGGCTACAATATTCTATTATCGAAGGCTACAATATTCTATTATCGAAATTCATTTAAAAAGAATCCTCGGGCAGCCCCGGTGGCTCAGCGGTTTAGCGCCACCTTCAGCCCAGGGTGTGATCCTGGAGACCCGAGATTGAGTCCCACATTGGGCTCCCTGCATGGAGCCTGCTTCTCCCTCTGCCTGTGTCTCTGCCTCTCTCTCTCTCTGTGCCTCTCATGAATAAATAAAATCTTAAAAAAAAAAAAAAAGAATCCTCTTTTTTAAGAATTACTTTCATAATGAGATTTTAAATAGACTAATAAGCACTCCTCAAAATGAATGGTGTCCTAAATGTTCTGGTAACAATGAACGTACCTGACCCACAAGTCCAAATGAACGGTCCAGGCTCCTCTGATCAGTGTATTTTCGGATTTTATTATGTAACCATCCCAATTCAGCAAGTCTGACTGCCGTATCCCTCAAAGATTTACTTAGGTTTGCCTGAAAAGAATTACATCAAAAGTTAAAAATTAACACTAGAATTTCATTTATTATTTTTCTCAACTATTTGTACTTTCAGTGTAATTCTTCGGTTCCAACACACGGAACTTAAAAGTAACTAATATACCATCTGTAAGAACAGAACGAGGTTCCGGGAAACAAAAGCACCAGGCACTGGCAGGGAAATAAAACCTCCATGTAAGTTCGGGGCTCAAGGAGCATCACTGAAGCATGAGTGGCAGCCCCTCAGCATGGCAGCAGCTTTGTGTCATCAGCTACCTCTTTAATAGCGGGGAGCTGCAAAAGATTGCCAATATCAATAAGGGGCTGTGGGAAAGGAGGTTCTGGAAGGTGAACATAGGCACGTGGAGGCACCTTATCTGGAACTGCGTCTTGAGAGCACTGCCAGAGAACGCAGGAGGCAGGCACAGCAGAAGGGCCCCAGCACAAGCCTGTGAGCCACAAACACACAGGGAAGCAGGAACCTAACTGGCACTCCCCACTCTGAAGATCCAGCCCCGGTCACCCCATCACACCTCATCACGGCTCAGACAGGGCTGGGTTACTGCACCTTGGCCTCCACTTTGTAACAGTTCTCCGAGGTGCTCATCTTGATGTTCTTGCCATCTATGCCCTGGAAGACGTACAAAATGTCTCTGACCAGGGCTGCTTCAGTCACTTCCCCAGCACCTGAAGGACAGTTTTTGTAAGAGCAACACATTTTAAGAGGGAATAAATTTTAAAACAACACTAATTTTACATTATGTATTTGCAACCAGGACAAAATTGTGAACCTAAAAAAATGAGCTTAAGATGGAAAAAGTATGAAGTTCTAAGAAACAAGAATTTTCTAAGTATATGGAAAGCATATAATTTCTTATACAAAAAGTCTTTAAAAAAAAAAAAAAAAAAGGTGCCTGGCTGGCTCAGTCGGTGGAGCACTCATTTCTTGATCTCGGGGTGGGGAGTTCGAGCCCCATGTTAGATAAAATCTTAAAAAATAAATGAACAAACAAAGCAGTACATAGGAGCTTCATATATAACCAAGGAGCAATACACAGAAAAGGGAGCAGCACAAATCTATCAAAAAGGAGGGGTAATTATCTCACAGTATCTAGAAAACTGTGCTGTTGGAAAACTGTGCTGTTACAAAGCATGCAGACAAATGTAGGTCCATTCTCAACCACATAAAGAGAAATGAATACAGTGGAAAAGTCAGGATTTCCATAAACCTTGAAACAAAAAACTAAGTCAGAATTTAGGTTGCAGCAATGACAAGGAGGCAATGCTCAGAAATCCAAGCTGTCAGTGGGAGGGAAAATGTAATGAGTATATAGTCAAGGTGAGCGCTCCCAAAACCAGGGTAGTGAGGCAGAAGGTGAGGACAGGCTCAAGTATTCCATAAATATTAATTACATTGAATCCTTGGTAGTACTGTTCAAATGTCGCCCACCTCTCATTACAGACCATTCTATTTTCTCCATCAATTACTAAGAGACAGAAGTTGAAATACCCAATTGTAACTGTGGGTCTGTCTGTTGGTTTTCCTTTGTACATTTGAAGCTCTGTTAGCAGGTGAATATACACTTAGGAGTACTATTTCTTCCTGAAGAACTGACCTTTTCATTGTTATGAAATGTCCCTCTGGCCCTGGCAACACTCCTGCCACTGTCTGGTTTGACAGTAATGCGTCCGTCCATCCTTCTATGGTTAATGTTTGTACGATGTGTTTTTTCATCCACTTACTTCCAACCTACTTGTGTCCCCATATTTAGAATGTATCTCTTTTGAGCAGTATACAATTGTCTAAATAGAATTTCTTTAAATATCTTTTTTTTTCTTAATGATTTTACTTATTTGAGAGAGAGAAACGTAGCAGGAAAGGAGAAGCAGACTCCCTGCTAAGCAGGGAGCCCAATGCAGAACTCGATCTCAGGATCCCGGGATCACAACCTGAGCCGAAGGCAGATGCCTCACCAACTGAGCCACCCAGGCGTCCCTAAGAATCTTTAAAATGAAGTATCTAATCCACGCACATTTCATGTGACTACAGACATGTTTGGTTTAAATTTACCACATTGCTGAATGTTTGCTATTTACCCTGCTCTTCTTTCCTCCTTTGCACGTCCTCTCCAGCTCTTTTGGATTAATCAAGAATACTGTGGAGTCTTTTTTTCAGTTAGCTCTGTATATCACACAGGCCTGAAGGCACTGGTTAGAGATCAGGAGCCACAGCAAAAAAAGGAGCGGAGATGGGCATGCTCATGGTCTGGAAGCCAGCCTCCCAGCCAAAGCGCCCACAAGCAATTATGTGGTACAGGACAGACACAGGTGGGCAGTGTGGCTGCACAGGCTGGGCCTCAAACACTGGGCTGTACTCCCAGGTCCACACAAGACACCCCTGGTGCTCGCCTTCTACGCAAGCACAGATAGTAGCCAGAGGGATGTAAGAACCTGCAGATTATGAGCTGACAATGAAGCCTATTCCTCTATTCGCAGATGCTTATGTTTCAAACACTGCTATTCATAGGGCTCTCTTGAAAAAAACTCAAACATTCTATTGGAATCTAACAGAGCTTTAAAACTCTTAATGTGTCCACTTAGCCATCAAATAATCTTCAACATCCTAGGCACTGCCAGACTTCCCAAGGCACATCAGACCATACTTCAGCATCTGAATCTCTCACCATGAGAACAACTATCCTACAACTGTAAGCGAGGACTCCTCATTAGTATTTTAAGATAAGGGAAGCGTAAATTCTAAATATGCAAAAAAAAAAAAAATCTACATTTAAGTCTATCCTTACTCACCACCTGCATCCCCTTCCCTCCTTGGTCTTGTCACGTTGCGAGAAACAGTGTTTGGGATACCTTTTGAGGTAGTGATTTGTGAAGAAGGCTGGTTTGTAGTTAAAGTCCATGCAAGACGTGACCCCAACTGCTGCCGAAGACAGTCTCCCACTCCAGGAGCATGATGAGGCTGTCTGAAAGAAGGAAAGAGCATTTCGTATCTCCAAACACCCAGGCTACTGACTTGAAAGACAAAACACTGCTGGAAATTCTGCTCATATTACTATATTGAATTACATAACATTAGAAATCTGAGCTAGGTGAGTGACATCGCCCTACTCAAATCCATCAACTAATCAGTCCAAGGGCTCTTTGGGACCTCTAGGGTGGCATCAGGCACCTCCTACGTATTTCTTAGCATAAAAATCAAAAGCTATTTGACTTTTCTTTACAAACACATAGCATAGGTTACCCATCTAAAACCACTTTGAAATCCACCACTAATTTTAACTTCGAACTTAACAGCTTTCATCCATCCAGCATTTGTGATCACAGAAGTAAAAAATCTGGAGTGCTGTCCCCTGTTCTATATGCTCACTAGTCTCCCAGGATTTTGCAATTTATTTTAAAAATGTACAAATATAAAGTCAAAAGCAAAAGCACAAAAGGTCAAAATAGCTTTTGATAATTTGGAGAATATGTCAAAGCTGCTGTTTTGGAGGTGCCTGGGTGGCTCAGTCGATGAAGCGTCTGCCTTCAGCTCAGTTCATGACCCTAACGTCCTGGGATTGAGCCCCACATCGGGCTCCCTGCTCAGTGGGGAGTCTGCTTCTCCCTCTCTCTTCCTTCTTGTGCTCTCTCTCAAATAAATAAATAAAATCTAAAAAAAAAAAAAAAAAAAGAAAAGAAAAACGGCTGCTCTTTGAAAATCTAAGACATGACAGCTTATTTCTGAGGACATATGTTCTGACAACTGCAAAAAAACATATCGCTTCCTGGGACTGCGCCACACAAATGAACCTCCATGGAGCAGACTGATTACTGATAATTGGAGCACAGCTCTCCCTCTTTTTTTATCTTCAATGGGGGAAAAAAAGTCATTAATAATACTTATTAAACTATGACTTTCAATACAGTTCTAAATTTAAGAGAAAAATTCTAAAGGACCACTTCAGCTCAAAGTCCTCTATACAGTTCTTTTTCACAACAATTATTTCAAACTCTAAGGTAAAAATGACAAAGTCTGTCGACTGTTTCAGCCAGAACATAAATCAGAGATTAAATCTGTAAAATATATCCTGCTGTCTTTCTAGAACACCAGATTGCATTTATAACCTATGTGTGCTACACACACACAAGATTCTAGTGATGTGAACATAACTATATTAACGTAATTTCCTATGACACTATGCTCATGTGAAACACCCATGACGATGAATCTCTAGTCACTGTTCTGTATAAATACCTACTGGATGACAGTCTGCTTTAATGTGATCACCAGGAATGAACCATGCATAGAAATATGTAAAAAGACAAGGAAAGCAAAGTTCCAAGTCCACTACCGCATTAGCAGTGGCTTCATTCCCAACCACAAACTATATCTCCTGGAAACATGAGATCTGACTTCACATTAACCATGCGTTCCCGGAGCTACTTATCTTAATTCTCAAGCACTACAAGGTGCCATAATTCTCAGTCTGAAGACCTCAGTACTTGAGGACAGGAAAGCTTTATTTCAGTTTACTTATTTTTTAAATAATAAAGAGAATAGCACACATGGGTAAAGGAGACCAATAATCACTGAAGAAACTATGGGAATGCAGCAAGGGAAATGTCAATCAGTTACCTCAAAATGAAAGGCCCATCCTATCATACTTCTGAAATAGGGCCTTACTACTATGCACTTGCATTAACAAAGTAGAGTAGGCCAAAAAAGATTACAGTCAACCATGACTAGAGAGGAAAGAATTCCCATTTGAAACAGAGAAGAATAAAATCCTAAGAGGAACAATCAATGTGTGCAAGCTTGATTTACCCTGGAAGGAGAGACTGCGGCGTTGGGGTCGGGCCATTTAAGGTGTACACACTTATGCTACTGACGCCACTGCTTCCCATGCTACCAGCGCTCTGGGTCGACTGGGTGCTGCGGTCCTGGTAGTTAAGCGGGAGCGTCTGAGGCCTGGCGTAGTAGTAGGGAGTCGAGTGAGCATCTCTTGGTAATGCTTGAGCGAATAATGCAGCATAGCTAGAAACCTGAAAATGAAGTCCATTAAGAAATACAGAGATAAAGGGGCACCTGGGTGGCTCAGTCAGTTAAGCATCCAACTCTTGGTTTCAGCTCAGGTCATGATCTCAGGGTCATTGGATCGAGCTGTGCATCACGCTCCTCGCTCAGCACGGAGTCCATTTGTCCCTCTCCCTCCCCCCACTTGTGCGCTCTCTAAAATAAGTAAATAAAATCTTCTTAAAAAAAGAATACAGAAGGGATCCCTGGGTGGCGCAGCAGTTTAGCGCCTGCCTTTGGCCCGGGGCGCGATCCTGGAGACCCGGGATCGAATCCCACGTCGGGCTCCCGGTGCATGGAGCCTGCTTCTCCCTCTGCCTGTGTCTCTGCCTCTCTCTCTCCCTCTCTCTCTCTCTGTGTGTGACTATCATAAATAAATAAAAAAATTAAAAAAAAATACAGAAATATAAAATTACAGAACACTTCCCAAATCAACAAAGATAATTTGTATTCAGATTTTAGTTCTTTCTGTAATTGATTTTGTACTCAGTAAGCAATAATTTAGTTGTTATACTTTTGAAATATGGCAGAACTGATAAAAGTTTCACAAAGTTTTCTAAACTCCAAAACTGCCACAGGGTCTGGCAACTAAAAACATGTTCCTCAGAATCCAAGCAAACTAAAACCCAAACAATCATTCAAATATTTTTGCAAGTGTGGCACTATCCTATAACGGAAGACGGCTCCTTACTCAGACGTAGGCTTTCAACATAAACAGGCCTCCTGCACCACACTCCTGCCCCCATAGGCCCTCAAGTTTCTGTAGTGGAGCACATTCTTGCACAAGACACTCGGCTCGCAGCAGCCAGACAGCTCTTCCAACACCACGGGGGCCAGAAACTAAACCCGCATGGCAACAAAGTTCTCACTGGTATGACAGTAATTAATGTTCATAATGATCTGAAGACACAAGAAAACCTAAAAAGTCCTCTAACTCATGCAGAATTGAGTATTAATATGCAGCTATGCTCCTATTAACAACTTGTGAAAACTGTTTTTATGCTCTATTTCATGGGACATTCTTGTATTTGAGGTAATAATGTAACTCTGGAAAATACCTTAAGGAAAAGCAGTGAGTGCCCTGTCTAAAGAAAGAAGGAAAGAAAAGAAAATCTCTTGACCTTCTAGGACTACCAAGAAAACTAGACAAGTTATTTTTTTCTCATTATTTTCTTAAGTACAGAACCCAATTCCTATCAAAATTGGTATACTTGCCCTAACTAGACACTAAGCATGCTTTAAATAAAGGCACTGGCCACCTGGGTGGCTTGGTTGGTTGAGTGTCCAACTCTTGCTTTCTGCTTAGGTCGTGATCTCAGGGTCATGGGATTGAGCCCCAGGCCAAGCTCCCTGCTCAGTGAGGAATCTGCTTGGGATGCTCTCTCATTCTCCCTTTGTCCCTACCCCACTCTCAGTGTGCACTCTCTAAAGTAGATAAATAAATGTTTAAAAAAAAAAAAGGCACTGAGCTGCCAACAGCCTCTTACCTTGTTCGGCTGCTTGCGCGGATCTTCACTAAGGCTTAGCAAGAGGTAGAGAATTGACCATTTATTTTTCAAAACTCCCTGTTTAAAAGGAAAACATTAAAAGAACAAGTCTGTACTACTCTCCAGCTTTATCTACCTTTCTCCTAAATGATCCTTATTTCCAAAATAGAAACATGTTTTTTTTTTTTAAATTCACATGGTAACAAGTATAAGTGTGTTCATTTTTCAGGTATGACAAACAGTGCTACCTAACAGAAGGCTGCAAATAACATTTTCAAGAGGTCATGACCTCCTGAAACTAACCAACCCCAAAGTTCCTAATGAGAACATGTGTATAAATTACCCAATTCCGGAATACAGCAATTCCCCTTTAAAATACTTCTTAGAATAACCAACTTCCTAAATGTAGTGATTACAAGAAAAATGCCATCATGAAACAGGTGAACGCTTCCCCTCCTTTATCAAAGTGCCATGTAGGCCATAAAAGAGAATAATTGAAAGAAAAAAAAGGGAGATTCTAAAGTATACGATGTAAGTCTCAGCACCATGTATACCGAAACTCAAGGCTCTGCAGTAAGAGTTCTCAAAACAAGCAGTACCTAGGTTTCAATATAAGGTTATCATATGGACTCCATTACTTTCCAATCACGTCTCACTCCACCATAATAGCCCACCCTCAATACATTTTTCCCAAATTTACAGAGCATTTCTACTCCATTCATATGACCTTACCTTTTAGATGCACAAGCTGGAATACATAAATAGCTTTATTTATAAAACCATGGGATGGTTACTTACTTTACACAAACTCTTCATTATATAAAATATTGCTCTAAAGTTTCTTTAAAGAAAAAGCTCAAAAAAAAAAAAAAAGAAAAAGAAAAAGCTCATCTCAGGTATTTAAATTATGGTCTCACTTAAAAAGTTGATTTACACACAATTTTTTAGAAACAAGAAACTCACCAGCCCCGACAGAGTCCTCACTCTGGTGGCAAAGAGACAAAGAAGCAGATACACTCTGGTGGGATACGTGAAATGTCAGACATGGGTGAGGGGTGAGGTCACTAAAGTGGCCCATCATTTATGAAAGGATCCCCATAGAGGGCAGGGTCTCAAAAGAAGAATGGTGATGCAGGCACAGAGGAGGGAGTAGGCATGGCCTTTTCAGGGCACTGAAGACAGATCACCCTGGCCAAAGCCAGGCAGAAGCATGGACACCAAAAGTAGAACAAAGCATCAGATTAAAAGGGTCTCCAGCGTGGGACCAAGAAGTCCAAGCAGGAAGCTTCTGAAGGCATGACTGTATCTGCTGACCGTCCCCAGAGGCTGGACTGCAAGAGACAGAATGAGATGCACAGGAAACTGCAGTCATTCAGGACAACATGGTCAAGGGGGAGGCGGACACTTGGTCTCTGCAGCCACCCAGGCAACCTTCGCAGCCCCGTGGGGAAGGTCCTGGACTCCCTGGGCTCAGTGACACCACAGGTACAGGAGCAAGGCCTGAAGCCCATTTGTCTGCCTCCAAAGCGCCGCTCTTCACCAGATCCCATCTCCTTGAAGGGCTAGGAAGCAATCAACTAACAGCACTGCCACGTACAGTAGGCCTGCGGGGGACGTCCTCAACATGTCACCTCCTGTAATCGGCACAACCACATGGGGACACAGGCCTTATTCTCCACAAATGACAGAAGCAAAGGTGAAAACCTAAACCACCTACCTACTTCACAGAGCCACATGCTGGGATGCAAACTAAGGTCTGTCTGCCTCCCAAAGGGGACAAATGAGAGGCATTTGAAAATGCCTGAAAAGGACAACTAACAAGACTTGGGGACACAGCAGATGTAGGGAGAGGAATCGTCAATGTGACATTCAGGTTCCTGGCTCTTGGGAATAGACCAACATTATCATTCACCAAAACGGCAAACATAGAGGAAAGAGCAGAGGTGTGCATGAGTGGCTGTGAACGGATGCCTGGAGGTATGAAACAAGGAAACACAGCCATGTTCCTTCCTGGTCTGAGGCTACTGAGCTGTAAGTCCCTGGGGGAGTGTCCCATGGAGCATCAGGATGCCCAGGGGGCTTTGGGAAGACAGGGGAAGTTTCACCCACACAGCGGGAGTCCTGGGTTAGACCTGTTAACTCTCACTTTAGAAATAAAGACGATATGCAGAGTGGAGAGCAAAGGAAGTTGTCAAAGTGAACAAAGCTGTGCACCAAAAACTCATCAAATGGCATAGAGGAGGAGGCATCATTTTTGTTAACATGAACAGAGCAGGTGTGTAAAGGGCCAGCCTCAGCCTGAAGAGCCCCTGGCGCCGGGCAGCTGCAAGGAACTGTGGACAGACCAGGGAAGCAGGGCGGCACCAGGCGGGCAGGGGCCATCAGCAGCAGAGAGGCCTGAGGGGCTGCAGAAGGCACAGATCACCAGAGCCAGGGAGCCTGGCATGGGAGGTGGAGGGGCGCAGGGGTGCCTGGCAGGAAGGGATGAATAGCTTGGCACCACTCCTCACTGGCCTCAACCCTGCCAGCTCCAGGCAAAGCCAACCAGAAGCCACAAAACAAAGAGAGCCCTGGGGCTGCCACCTGCACCTGTCAGCTCTCCAGTGCACAAAGCAGGGTGCAGAAGGATGGGGTGGAGACCTGCTAGGCAACCAGGATAAATAACTCCAGAATCACAGATGTTTTAAATACTTCTAAACTACTTTAGACCCTGTTATCTCAGATTCTGAAATCTAAAGAACCATGACAGACAGAAAACTTCAAACTTACACACAAATTGAACTTTAAATGTTAAGAATACACATTAGTGCACCCTAAGATCTGGAGGAACATCAAAACAAAGCGGTTAACTGACTCCAGCCGGCGACACAGAATGCTTCTCCCAGCATTCATACCCTACTAAGGCTCACCTCCTCCACGGGCCAGCCACCCGCAGCCCCCACGACCCTCCACCCCTCCTATACCACACCCTCACCACCTGCCCCTTTCTCCCGGCATGCAGCACAACTTTTTGCACCTGCTGCTGCCCTCACCAGCCATCCTCCCTTCTCCAGTTCTGTCAGCCACATTCCAGATTGCAGCCCAGGAATACCAAGACCCCTTCCCCAACATCTCTATACCACACCAGATCCCATTTGCCAAGTCCTGCCCACGCCTCACACAGGAGCACAGCCGAGAAGGGCTTTCAATGAAAAGGCAGGATCAAACTTTAAAACCAGGAACTGCATGTTTTAGCAAAAAGATGGGAGCTGTTAATCTGCACATATGTTTCTAATTTGTTTAATTACTAGTGTTCTATTATCGTGTCCTAATATTGTTCATCCAACAAAATGTTCAAAATCAGAAATTTTTAAGTTATTCACTATAACAGCACCAATTAGGGTGTGATGAACACTAAAGTGTATCAAGAAGACAAGCTCTTGCAGCTATGGGTAGTCAAGACTTCCACCTGTGTGCTTCCTCCCTGTGATGGGACGAAGCCACCTGCACTACAAACTCAGGTGTCCATAATTCCAATTACTTTCCCCATGTGGCTTCCGTCTACTTTATAAGCAGTGTGGCATTAAATGCAGCTAAAAAATTACATTTAATATTGAAAAGCTCTTAAAAGCCAAACACAATCTACATTTAAAACCCATTCCCCAGCATAGGAAAGTGGATGTGAGACCACAAGGCCCCAAATGGGTCTGATGGCCTCACCCCAGTGGGACACGTGGTACCTGTGAATGCAACTTTCTGTGCAGCTCTGAAAATAACGCAGCATCCGCTTCTCTTCTCTGACGGATAACTGAAAAGTCAAAAAAGAAAAGGACTGTGTTAATCACATACTCTAAAATCCCTCTTATGATCCTTTTTCACCCATGGTAACAGGTTAACTGATGTCTGAGAAGAATCCTGAGCTTAAGAATCAAAATAATTAGCCAACAAGAGGCATTTCAGCTCTACCTATTTGGTCAATGCATTTAATCTCTCTGACGTTTGTAAAATATGGATGTTATTAGGCAGGAATCAAGGAATTTATAAGTTAAAAGGGACCTTTTAGATTCTATCTACAAATATTAATAAGCAGTCTAGTGAGGCCAACTACCACCAGTTTAATTCATTAATGACTACGTGAAAGGAGAGATGTATACTCCTGTAGGAGTGGTAAATTCAAATACTGTGGGAGTGGTAAATTCAAAGGGCAATAACAAAAGTTTATCATTCATGATAGCTTACATTAAAACCACACATTCTGGGATCCCTGGGTGGCGCAGTGGTTTGGCGCCTGCCTTTGGCCCAGGGCGCGATCCTGGAGACCCGGGATCGAATCCCACGTCAGGCTCCCGGTGCATGGAGCCTGCTTCTCCCTCTGCCTGTGTCTCTGCCTCTCTCTCTCTCTCTCTCTCTCTCTCTCTCTCTCTCTCTCTCTCTTTCTGTGACTATCATAAATAAAAAATAAATAAATAAATAAAAAATAAAAAAAAACACACATTCTAAGCATTTCTTTGAACATGTACAGCAAATATTAGTAAATGTCTTCAGATGCCCAGAGCTATGCTCACTAGTTTCCTGAAAACCACAGTAATACACGAGAAGCCCATGTTCTGGTCCATTCCATTAAGGATGAGGCTACACGCTGGGTCTGGGCCCTGAGGGAGGAGACCCCACTCACCCACACCTGCGACACCACACACACCACCTATGCACACGCGCCTCTCACAGGAACCCTGCCATACCTGCTACCAGAGAAAAGGCACCATTTTCATGATCTAGCTAATAGCATCTGTAGGCTCCAAGGAATCACCCAGCAGGACTGATTTCTTAAAATCTCATCAGCCAAGTTCACTTAGCTCTATATGTTCCAACTGGTTTGCAGAAAGACTGGCTTGATGGCCAATGCTTTTTCATATACATCAGCTAGGAAAGGTCTTGGTATCACGTTCTGATCTTAGAAACCACATACCAGAAGTTAAATCATCCCAATTACATCTGCACTGTCAAGTCATCCTATGCAGAGAGGTAAAGCTATCTTTAAAACGTATTGCAGAAAATAAATAAAATAAAATAAAATAAATAAAATAAAATAAAATAAAATAAAATAAAATAAAATAAAATAAAATAAAATAAAATAAAAATAAAAATAAGATGTATTGCAGGATGCCTGGGTGGCTCAGTGGTTGAGCATCTATCTGCCTTTGCCTCAGGTCATGATCCCGTGGTCCTGGGAGTGAGTCCTGCATCAGGCTCCCTGATGTCTCTGCCTCTCTCTCTCTCTGCATCTCTCATGAATAAATAAAATCTTAAAAAAAAAAAAAAAAGATCAAAGAATTTACTTCCTTTTAAAACATATAGAAATACTCCAAATGAATAGTCACTAAATTAAGAGATGTTTTTTCTATAGAAAGAGACTGACACTAACTCAGACATGCAAAATAATCATGGGACAATAAAATAGTAAATAATACAAATAAAAATAAACAATATTCACCAAAAAATGATTTATCCAACAGACTGCAAAACAAATCTTTACTTAGAATGTACCCCAGTCACAAATGTGAGAAATTAAGAATCATTAGGTGTTAAACTTTGTCACACATGAGTTTTGTAATTTGTTTCAATATAAAACACCGTAACCTTTTATATTTTAAGTCGGGTATATAAAATGGAAAATGACTTTTGTGTTATTCCAGAAGACAGAACCACCCTAATTCAACTAACCTACCAAAAACTGTAATCAAATTTCAAAAATGCTAAAATGTAAAAATTTTATCTAGGAATTAAGGAAATATGGTAAGTCAGTGGTGCCCACTACATCCACTACATGAGAGAGACATCCACAGCACTCCACCACTGCAGCTGGGCCATCTGAGAGCTGGGGATGTTGGGGGGGGGGGTTTGGGGGGGAGCAATGGTGGTAGTGGTTATGGACACCCGGTGGACACCTGGTGCTAACAGGCAGAAAAGGTGCATGGTGTCAATACACAACAAGTCTTATTTCAAAACTGTAGGATATTACAACACAGAAAAAAAAAAAAAAACTATGCATGGCTCCAGCTTTTTTTTTTTTTTTAATTTTTTATTTACTTATGATAGTCACACAGAGAGAGAGATTGGCAGAGACACAGGCAGAGGGAGAAGCAGGCTCCATGCACCGGAAGCCCGACATGGGATTCGATCCCGGGTCTCCAGGATCGCGCCCTGGGCCAAAGGCAGGCGCCAAACCGCTGCGCCACCCAGGGATCCCTCCAGCTCTCTTCTTAAAAGAAATCTCAAGACTTCCTTGCAATACCCGCTCAAAGAATGTCATGCCAGTTCTCAGTTTAAATAAACCTTTTTTATTTAAACTCAATTAGCCAACAAATAGTACATCATTAGTTTCAGATTAGTGTTCAATAACTCAAATCAGTTGCATAAATGCCCAGTGCTCATCACATCACGGGCCCTCCTTAATGCCCATGACAAACTATTTTTAACTACTACGTGTATGTATAATATGGTCACCAGGAGACCCTGAAATGTAAATTTGCAAAAGGAATAATCTATTAATATAGTACCTAACAGTTAGAGCTGTCACTAATAATTCAAAATGTAAAATAATCTAAAGTCTGAAATGGAAAAATAAGATGTAATAGTCATCAGGGTTCAAGAAGAGTAGTGTTCTTATGTTTAGTTTTATAGACAAGAAATGTAAATAAAAAGAAGTGTTTAGAGGTTAACAGCAGGATAAATACTGCATTTTCACCTCTTACATAAATAATATATCACGGTAAATAACACCAATGGATGGGTCATTTCCAAGCTGACTGCTCATCAAACCCAACTAAGCCAAGGTGAGGACTGCCAGGTCCAGGTACTTGAGCACAGTGCCTCAATCACCAAGGCCCCTCACCTCCAGCTCCGCTACACGGCCCTGTTTGACATGCTCAGACCACTGGTCAAATGCAGTGAACAAGGCACCAACTGGCAGTTGGAGACTATGCCATGAAGGAGGGAAATCCTAGAAGGTGTCACCACTGGTTTGCCAACACAGTCAGAAGTAACCGAAGTCCATTTCATCTAGGCAGTTAACAGCCAGACCTCAGCAAGGAAAACACACTGACCTTCATGGCAAGGCTTGCTTTTCTGGCAGGTGAAGCTGGGGTGGGACAGCCCAGAGAACTGTGAGGAGCAGGCCTCTGGAGAAAAACTACCCTCCGACTGATACAAGAGAAATTTCCTATGTGGGTCTTTCTGCACAAAGCCTCCCTCCCTCAGTCCCAGAGTACAGAGAGGCAGCAGAGCCCCACCTTATACAGCCAGAGAACATCACAGTACCCCGGTGCTAATAAATGAAAAGCTTTCTTCAAAGGTAATGATGTCTTTCTTAAGCTTTCAGTATCAGCTCAGAATTAAAAAGTTCATAAGTTCCAAAGTACTAGAAGTCTGGAGGTTGACAATCAATAGAAACAATACTGAGCATTTTCTTGCCAAGAGCATTCTATGATATGTGGTCAAAAGGTGCATAATAAATACTGCAAACCACAAGATATGCAGGAGTGCACACTAAGCCCCTCATACTCAGTCACTGAAGCATCCAACTCATGATTTTGGCTCAGGTCATGATCTCAGGGTTGTGAAATCAAGCCCCACATCAGACTCCACACACAGCAGAGTCTGCTTCTCTCCCTCTGCCCCTCCCCTCATGCTCTCTATCTCAAATAAGTAACAATGAGGAAAAATACATACGTTCTTTCTTGATTTTTTCAGCTACAAGAAATTCATCTCTTTCAACAGTTGGGGCAAAGTTGCTGCCAATAACTCGCACAGCGTACTGGAACTGCTGGGCTACATCAGCTGAAAGGTGAACACAAGGATGCAAATTATTGCCAATCAGGGTAAGTTCTGATCACCTCATGCGTCAGTGGAGACAGTAGATTGGGCATATCTAACTACCTCCTACTTTCCTAAAGTTTTAACACTGCAGGCAGAGGAGCTATTAAGAAACCAAAGTAAATGAATGACATACAGTTCCATAAAACAAGAAAGGGACAGGCCTGCAGTCTGATGAATCCCTAGGAGACAAATCCACTAAACTGAGAATAAAGAATTTTATTACACACTTCTCACTCACCAGGACAGACTATACTGGGGGTCACAAAACAAACTTTATTAAATACGAAATAACTAAAATTATTCAAATTATGCCTCTCTATCAATAACAGATTTAAACTTGAAATTAGCAGAATACCTGAAAAATCCTCAACCATCTGGAAGGCAAATAACACTGTATAACACAATGGCCAGAGGAAGTCTCAAAGAAAACCAGAAAATATCTTGAACTGAGTGAAAATGAAAATACAACACACTAAAATAGGTGGGACACAGCTAAAGCAATGTTTAGAGAAAACATACAGAGTATAAAATGCTTTTATTAAAAATGAAGATGGGTCTCAAATCAATCTCAGTTTACAGAATAAAATCTAGAAAAAAGAAGCAAACTAAACTCGGGCCATTATGAAATAATAAAATAACAGCAATAATCAATGACATTTAAAAGAAAAATAAAAAACAAAATCAGTGATATCAAAAGCTTGTTCTTCAAAAAAAAATTTAAAAAAGGAATTGAGAAACATAAATTTGTGACCAAGAAAATTAAGACACAAATTTAGGGATCAAAGAGGTGATACTTCTGATCGCACAGAAATGTTTGAAAATGAAAGCTAAATAACTGCCATAGATACTCCCCTCCAGGAGCTGGTATGACATAACACCCACCCCGTAAGTGTGGGCTGCTCAGTGTCTTCCCTCCAAAGAGGAGAGCACGGAAATGGGGAAGAGCTTCAGGCAGAGAAGACTTCTGAAAAACACACCTCAGCCAGGTGATCAAGGTCAAGACAACAGTGACCACAGTGACGAGTGACCCTGACATGATGTACCCTGGATACAAGGTAATGAGAAGGACAATTTACCTCTGGGACCTTCCTTCCAAACACACATAACCACAGTCTAATCACGAGGGGGGAAAAAAAATCACCAGCTAAATCCCAACCAAGACATTCTATAAAATAACTAACTTTTAACCCTTGAAACTGTCAAGGTCACCAAAAAAATAGTAATTTTTAAAGTCTGAGAAACTCTCAGAGCCAACAGGAGCCCAAGGAGAGACGACAGCTAAAGGTAACATGGTACTCTTGAAGGAGCCCTACAGGAGTAAAGAGGCATTAAGGGGTAATAAGTGAGAAAATCTGAGTAAAGTATGTAGTGAATAACCACCAGACCATATTAACATTAAGACACTAACAATGGGAAGGGCATGGAATATAAAGGGGACTCGCTATGATAGTCAAAATGTTTCTGTAACTCTGAAATTATTCTAAAAGTTTATTTTTAAAAACATACTAAGTCTAAAGCCCATCTTTCACCAATCATGATTTATTGATCTTGAATGGGACCATGGTACCAATATGTTTTCAGGGGGCACCCGAGTGACTCAGTAAGTTAAGCAGCTGACTTGATTTCAGTTCAGGTCATGAGCTCAGGGTCGTGAGATCAAGCCCTGTATCAGGTTCACATTCAGCACAGAGTCTGCCTGAGATTCTGTCTCCTTCTCCCTCTGCCCCACCCATCTCCCCACCTGCTCTCTTAAATAAATAAATAAAATATTCTTTAAAAATGTTTCAAAACCTCTGTTTTAAAACTTTTAAAGAATAAGGCAACTTAAATGTGGGAGGAAAATGGTTTCTTGGGTAAACTCAAAAAAGAATCTCAGCCCATATCCTACAACATATACAAAAGTTAACTCAAATATGTCATAGTAAGCATAAAACATAAGCCTAAAACACTCTTAGGGAGGAAAAAAACAGAAATCTTTGTGACTTGGAGTTAGACTAAGAGTTATGTAAGATACCAAAATCCTGACCCATTAAAAAATGTGATACACTGGAGTCCATCCAAGATTAAACTTCTGCTCTGCAAAGGACACTGTTAAAAGAATGAAAATACTGAGAAAACATTCACAAAACACAACAAAGGACTTGAATTCAGATATATAGAGAGAACTCTCAAAACTCAGTAAAGGGTGAAAAATGAAATCCAAATAAAAACATAAGCAAAAGTGTTCAACAGACAATTCACCAAGAAAATGAACAGCAAAGAAACACGTGACAATATGCTCGATGACATTCGTCATTAGGGAAACATAATTTAAAACCACAATGAGATGCCATTATTCACCTATTAGAACTGCTGAAATAAAAACAGACTGCCACCACCCAGGCAGGAAGCTCTCCAAGCTCAGGAGCTCTTCTCACATTCTATCTGGTGAGCATGAAGCTGGCACAGGCACTCTGCAGAACCTTCTGGCAGTTTCTTTAAAAGCTAAGCATACACTTTCCGTGTGGCCTAGCAATCCCACTTGTAGGTATTTTATTCCAGGGAAAGAAAAACTTAATGGTCACATAAGACTCTGTACATGAACGTTTGCAGCAGCATTACGTATAATGGCCAAACCCAGAACCAACCCAGAGCAGATGTGTACAGCAGCAGCGAGTAGACACAGCCTGGTGCGTCCAAGCCCAGGACACCCAATGCAATGACATGGAGTGAACTATGGACACACACACCGCAAATGAACCTCAGACGTGTTCAGCAGAGCGCAAGAGGCCAGGCTCAGGAGGTTACACCCCATATGACTACATCTATGTGACATTCTGGAAAAGGCAGAATACAGTGACTGAGAAGAGATCGTGGTTGCCAGAGGCAAAATGACAGTACAAAGGAAACAGTAGTGAAAATTTTTTAAGAACCAATAAATATTTTTTAAAAGGCAAAAGAGCAGCAGATGCAGCTTCCAAAAGGTAAATAATCAGAAGCTGGGAAATCAAATACAACAAAGACGATAGTTAGAATTGAGGGGGAAGGGATCCCTGGGTGTCGCAGCGGTTTAGTGCCTGCCTTTGGCCCAGGGCGCGATCCTGGAGACCCGGGATCGAATCCCACATCGGGCTCCCGGTGCATGGAGCCTGCTTCTCCCTCTGCCTATGTCTCTGCCTCTCTCTCTTTCTCTCTGTGTGACTATCATAAATAAATAAAAATTAAAAAAAATTTTAAAAAAAAAAGAATTGAGGGGGAAGAATTCATAGCAAAAGTCTTCCACAGTCAGTTCTCAAATGCATGGATCACCCAGTGTTAACCCAGATAAACTGTTAGATCCCACACCTAGACAAAATTTCAGAACACAACTGTACAACTGATATATAGCAGAATTTCAGAACATATAGAGAAAAATCCTAAAAGCTGCCAGATACAGCTTCAAAGGAATAAGAAACAGTTTAACACCAGACTTGTCAGTAATGAAGAAATACCTTCCAAGTGTACAGAGGGAAAATAACTTTAAACCAAAATTATCTGATTGATAATTTAAGAGTATGAGAATAGCAGAAGGAGGGAAAATGCAGACATTCTCACACTTGTGAGCACTTATATTTGGTATATCCTGTTGAATCCACTTCTAAGTGTGCCCCAGATATGCCCATGCCATAGCTGCCACCCACCTGCAAGGAGTCTCCTCAGCAGCTTGGTCACCCATTCCTACTCTGCCCCCTTAAATTATCCACATGGTAGTCAGAGTGATTTTTTTAAAACATAAATACTACCATTGCTCTGCCTGAATCCTTCCAATACACCCAGAATAAAATATAAACTCATGAGGATAGCCTACCCGACCTGGTCCCTCTTACCAGCCCTGCTTTACAGTCTTGCCCATCCTTGAGCACATAACACCCGCTTCCAGCTCAGAACCTGACCATCTTCTCCCACATCTGCCGGGTACTCATTCCACCATTTCACCTGGTTCTCTATTTAAATGTCATCTCTTCACACTGCCTTCCCATCTCAAGCACACCCCAACACACATGCACACAGGCAAGCCCACAGTAAATCCTCCTTAAACACCACTATGGAGCACAAAATGTGTTTAGGGCTTTTTGGAGTAGTTTTTCTTCCTCATACTTTTCCAAACTTTTAAATTCTCTAAGTAATAAATATTTTTTTATTTTTTTAAAGATTTATTTATTTATTTATGATAGAGACACAGGCAGAGACACAGGCAAAGAGAGAAGCAGGCTCCATGCCTGGAGCCCGATGTGGGACTTGATCCCGGGACTCACATGATCTCTCCCTGGGCCAAAGGCAGGCGCCAAACCGCTGAGCCACCCCGGGATCCCCCAATAAATATTTTTTTAAAGATTGATTGATTGACTGATTTGACAGAGAGAGGCAGAGACACAGGAGGAGGGAGAAGCAGGCTCCACGCAGGGAGCCCCATGTGGGACTTGACCCCGGGACTCCAGGATCGCGCCCTGGGCCAAAAGCAGGCAGCAAACCGCTGGGCCATCCAGGGATCCCTAAGTAATAAATATTACTTTTATATATATTAAAAGTGGCATTGAGGCACCTGGGTGGCTCAGCTGGTTAAGTGTCCAACTCTTTATCTCAGCTCAGGTCTTGATCTCAAGGTTGTGAGTTCAAGCCCCAAGCTGGGCTGCACACTGGGCATGGAGCTTGCCTAAAGGAAAAAAAAAAATGTGTCACTGAAAACTACATGCTTACAAAGGAGTGCCTGTAAAACTATTCTACTTAAAAAAATACTTATAGATTCCTAGGATTCTGAGTTCTAAAAAGAAAAAATAGTTCATTAACAAAATATTCAAGTATTTTGAGAAAAGGAGCAGTATGCCTCGACAGCAAGTAACAGGGAGGACCTCGTGAAGTGGGCTGTGTACCGAAGGCCTCTCTGAGGAAGCAGCCCTCTGACAGGGAAGAAGTCTGCCCTGTGAAAGGATACAATGAGATTCACATGTACAATGTTCCCCAACAGACGCCCATGCCACTTAAAAATGAGAATATTCCACAAAACATCTAAGGAATGTACTATGTCTCCACCTCCAATCTGCTCTGGGTGTCAGGAGCCTGGAAGGGAAGCCAGTGCTCCTCTGCCCAACCTCTGAAAACCTCTTTTTTGAGAAGAACTAAGCACCAGTAAATTCAAGGACACACCCTGTCCAACAAGAACCAGAGAGCAGACGTCGTGCTGCGCTCGCTCGCTCGCGCGCTCTCTCTCTCTCTCTCTCTCTCACACACACACACACACACACTCTAAGACAAGCAGGTGAAGACGGAGGCGAGAGGCTGTGCCACAGGCAGGGCTAGTACTCTGCTGCCTCCACCCAGCACACGGAGAAATGAGCTGTCAGTTCCACACAGAAGAACAGGAAGGAATTAATTCAACACATCGGGTTCTGGAACCAAAGCTGTGGGTTCCAATCTTGATTCTCCAATTCACTAGCTCAGTGACAGTGAGCAAACTACGTATTCTCTGCACATCTGTTTCTTCAGCTAGAAGGTGAGGGGAGTAAGTATTCCAACTTCCCGGCATCACTGGGAGCTAAGTACATACACTAGCTCACAGTACAAGTGCAGTGTCTGGCATTAGTAGGTACTGGAAAAATGTTAGCTATTTTATTATTATTGTTATTAATCTGAAAATGTCATCCCAATGCATGTTAGGTCTACCACAGCCGTTAAAACTGCAACTCAATAAAGTGTCCAGCTTTTAACTTCTCAGCAAGATACTTTGGTCTTCATTTTGTAGATTTCATGTAGGAAACATATTAATTCTCTTCACCTGGTGTGATGATTTTTATTCTCTAGAAAGGACCTTCGAGCTGCAGCTTAGGAGAGGCTGGAGGAGGTACAACACCAGGACAAGAAATGCATGGAACTGCGTAGTCTTAATCCAAAGAGCACTTAGATGTAGGCCCAAGAGTGTTAAATGGCAGCTACCTTCTATATTCCAAGAGGGATACTCAGATAAAAGAAAACTGAACACAGAGATTTACAAAGCAGTGCGGCTCGGGAGAAAGCACACAGTGCAGCTGTGACCTGTCTGGTAAGGCCCGAGTATGTGCCTCACTGCTTCTCCTGTGTGCATACGATGCTGTGTCCTAAAGGACAGACGACATGCCAGCTAAAGCACAAGTGCTCTTGACGGGATGACCACTGGGTGTTATTCTGTATGTTGGCAAATTGAACACCAATAAAAAAATAAATTTATTATAAAAAAAAAAAAAGCACAAGTGCTATGTGGAACACGAAACCAGCCACGCTTCATGCCTCCAAACGCAGGTCGCAAAGACTGCACGTTAGTGTGTCAGAGACCTAGCTCCCAAAATCCCCGGAGATGGGGCCACAAGATCAATTCTGAACAAGCATCACATGTAGAGAATTAAAAATGACAAGGTGTGAAAGCTTAGATACAGTAAAAGGTCCCCTCTTTGGCCACTGCCGCCGGGCCTCCAGAGCCCCACCGCACCCCTGTTATCTGGTTCTCCCGACCACAGGTGATCGGACGTGCAACTCCAAATGAATGAAAAGCAATGCTCCAAGACATAAACAAAAATAAAAAACTTTGCTCTAGATTTGTGGTTCTCAATCTGGTCTCAGGGCCCCTTTATACTCTTACTGTTCAGGATCCCTAAAAGGACTTATTTATATAGTTTAAATCTATCAATATTCACTGTATTAGAAATTTAAACCAAGAGCATTTTTATATTTTAATTCGTTTTAAAATACAATAAGCCCATTAAGCACAACTTTCAAATAATGCTTAAAACTTTGAAATTTCAACATTTTAGTATTTAGTGCACTTTTAAACACATACTTAATATAAGTTTTAATGTCCAGTTAATATATATTGATTCCCCAAGTATGTAATCAAGGGAAAACCATAACTTATTGGGAACTTCATCAAAGGCTCTTCACCGTTTTTGGAAAATCATGAAAGCAAACAGCAATAGCACCTGAGGTCAGTGAACCGGCAGGACAACCCTCCTTCCCGTGCCTGCACCGCAGCCCAGAGAACACTCACAGCACTGCCACAGATCTGGGCGATCATCTTACCTCAATGCCCCGTGCACGACCATCATACCTGAGCACTGATGTTAAATCCTGAATAAAAGTTCTGTATTTGTTATCTCACTAAAAAGAGGATTACAACGTATGAAAAGGACTGTTGGCCCTGACAGAGGTGAAAGACTGTAATATCAAGAACACTGTTTCCAAACAGAAATAACTATCCAAAGACGTAATAAGTAAAACATGTTCTGGGAGAAAGGCAAGGATATAGAGAATTTTCCTGTCACAGGCTGGCAGGATTTCAAGCAAATTCGCAGGCTGGAAAAGGTGAGAAATAGTGGTTATACCGACTTTATAAACATGTTAAATACCATTACAATTAGGTGCTTTGTTTCTGAAGGTCTTTTAAAGCCAACTGTAAAAAAAAAAAAAAAAAGTTAAATACTTTATGAAAAACTGATTCAGGGGGAAAAAAAAAAACTGATTCAGGGGCACTTGGGTGGCTCAGCGGTGGAGTGTCTGCCTTTGGCTCAGGTCATGGTCCCAGAGTCCTGGGTTCAAGTCCCGAATCAGGCTCCCTGCATGGAGCCTGCTTCTCCTTCTGCCTATGTCTCTGCCTTTGTGTCTCTCATGAATAAAAATAAATAAAAATCTTTAAAAAAAGAAAAAGAAAAACTGATTGATATAAAACTTGTATTAAAAATAACAATGGGTGCCTGGGTGGCTCAGTTGGTTAGGTGTCCAACTCTTAGTTCAGTTCAGGTCATGATATCAGGGTCCTGGGATGGAGCCCCACATCAGGCTCTCCGCTGGGCATGGACTCTGCTTAAGATTCTGTCATCTCTCTGCCCCTCCCACTGCTTGCCCCAGCTTGCTCGCTCCCTTGCTCACTCTCAACAAATATCGGGAGCGCCTGGCTGGCTCAGTCATAGAGCACCAAACTCTCCACCTGTAGGTCATGAGTTCAAGCTCTACATCAGTGTAGAGCTTAAAAAAAAAAAAAAAAAAGTAACAAGTATCAATTATTCTTCCGTATCACAGCATTGAGAAAGCAGTGTTACAAAAGTATAAAACCAATCGATTATGACATTAGGATAAGAATCAATCAAGTGTTCTTGGTTATCAGATAAAATACCCACTAATGAAAAAAAAAATTTTAACAGTCAAACATTGCAAAGGCAGCATTATTATAGCTCCTTTGCTCACTAAGGCAAAACAAATTAAAATAGAACAAGGCAAGTTATTAAATACTTATAAATTCTTCAGTAAATAGCATAATTTGGAATTGTGAAAATAATTGGCAATCCTAGCTGTTGAGAAAAGAACAAACAAGGAATCATCTTTAATGCATTTTTATGATACATTTTATTTGGAAGAGCCCCTTGGGATCTCACAGAGAGCCTATTTACTCTTAAACACAATTTTAAATAGAGTGGAGGGTATAGAACTTTGCTGAAGATAAGTGCTTCAATCTCCTTGAACAGGTGAAACAGTCAAAGGAGCCTCAAATATTTGTTAGATTTTTTTTATTTCATTGAGAAACATCATGCTACCTCACAATGAGTGGCCTTCAAAAGTCCAGTTGGGACAATGGGAACAGACAACCATGTGGCTGATCCCCGGAGGAAAACTGAGGACCCGCCCGTGTAATGAAAACACCGATGTTGGAGTGAGTCACAACCAGCAACCTTAGCTCTGACTTCTCAGATTAGGAACTTCAAACCAGAAAGGTAACTGGAGTGCCCGAGATACACACACAGATGAGCTGGAGACAAGACCTGAAGACAGCACGCCTGGCTGGCAGCCCCAGCAAGGCCTCTGCACCAGGCTCTGGGCATTCTGGGTCCCCAGATGCCCCCAGAGCCTCTCCCTCCACTCAGGCCTGTTTCAACATCTCCTCGGAGGCCTCCGTGCACGCCACTCTATTTTCATCACAGCATTTACCGCTAACCTGCATTTCGCTAGTTTATCACGTCTCCTCCACCAGCACGTGGCACCTACCGAGGAATGGCTTGTCTGTGCATCTCTGCATCACCGGCACCTAGTGTAACGCCTACAGGTGCAGAGCCCAAACGCTTGTTGGATGAATAAAGTGACAGAGTTAATCAAACTTCATGAAATGTAGCAAGAACTGTGCCAAGTTGGTGCCACTTTACAGACTGGCCAAAAAAAAAAAAAAAGAAAAGAAAAGAAAAGAAAGAAAAGAAAAATCCATCTTTATCCCTTTACCTTATCCTAGAACAGCAAACCAATTACGTACCTAAATGTCATAAATCAAGAAAGGTCAAAATTTAGTCTCAATATTTTCAAAGCAATTTTGTTCGAAGTCTTCCAGCAAAAAAACTGCCCCTTTTCTTTGCCCCATTGTGGTGCTCTAAGGCTTCTTCAACTGTCCAGGACACCCCTGCGCGTGCAGCCCCAGGCCCCCGCCCGCCACAACCCGCGCGGGGAGGCCCAGCCGCCCTCTCGGAGCACCGCGACCCCCCGACGTCCGCGCTGCGCGGGGCGAACCCTCCGGGAGGCGCGGCCCTCGGAGCACAGCGCGCAGGTCACAGTCGCCTGCCCCTCAGCGAGGCTCTCGGGGCTGCTCGGTTTTCCCGAGGGGCAGGGACACGCCGCGGCTCGCCACCCCGGGCCCCGCCCGGCCCCGGCCCCGGCCCCGTGCCGAAGGGGGAAGCGCCCGCGAGCCGCCTGCGCCGGGTCCGCTCGGGACCGCGGGGGAGGGGCGGGCAGCGGTGACTCAGCCCGGCCTCCGCCCCGGGGCCGCAGCGCCCGCAGGCCGGGCACAGCCTGGGGCCGGGCACAGCCTGGGGCCGCCCCCCCCCAGCCCCGGGACGCGGGCCTGCGGGCCTGCGGGCCTCCGGGCCTCCGGCACCCCGCGGACGGGCGGCCTCTGGCACGCGCCTTCACGCCCGAGCGCGGCCCAGCGCCGCTACCTTCGCTCCTGCCCAAGATCCGGCAGCACAGGTTCTGCAGCAGGACGTTCGGCGACTTCTGGTCCGGGGTCGCCATCCTCCCCCGGGACGGCCCTCGGGGGCCCTGCAGAGCCCCGGCCTCGGCCGCCCGGCCCCACGCCGCGCGGGGTCTCGGCGCCCCAGACAGGCTACGGCCCCGCGGGCAAGGCCGGCGACGCCGCCGCCGCCATTTTAACGGAACCCGCCGAAACCGCGGGCTCTTCCCACAATGCTCCGCTTCTTCCGGGCGCTCGGAGCCGCGGGTGCGCCCGCCTGAGAGCTCCCCGGTCCGTGGCGCACGGTCCCCCGACCACAGGCGCCAGGCCTGGAGGGTTCCGGAGCACGGGCCCCGGCGACGCGGTACCAGCTGCCCCGGGCGCACACCCCCCCCCCCCCACGTCCCCGCCAGAGGGTCGGGACGGCCCAGGTCAGGAAGACAGCTTTGCTTGGCGCCCAGTAGTCCATAAAAATAGCGTCTTAGCCCTTTTTCCTTTGTTTGGTCTTCGGTCACACTTTTAGTGGAAGAAGCCGGCTGGAAGGAGAACGCGGTCGTCGGGTTCTACCGTTGCGGCGCCACCCCCTGCTGCGCGTCTAGGTTTGCGTCGGAGCAGCCGACGGCGCCCACGTGCGGCGCGGAGCCGCCCCCCAGGCCCAGCAACCACCGCCGGAAGACGGCGGGCAGGGAGCTCCGGGGAGGGCGAGGGGACTCCCGCGATCCCCAGGCAGTGGGCGCCGAGTCGTGGGAGCTGCGGGCCGCGCAGGGAGGAGCCGCAGGCTGCAGCCCCGCCCGGCCACGCCTCCTCGTCCCCGCCGGGGCACCCAGGCGGCCGGGAGCTGCGGCCCACCTTCACCTGCCCGCAGTCGTCAGCCAGCGGGCGGCGTGTGCTCCACTTGGGGCCAGCCTGCCCCGTGCCTGAGACTTTGGAATGAGTATGAAGACAGCTGATGCCTCCAGATGACCTGGACTGTGTCGCAGAGAAACAGGCACCTTCCAGCCATCGAGTGAGCTAAGCAGAAGAGAGAAACCGACCCCGTCCCTTCCCGGGTTGGAGAAAAGAGGCCCCATAGACCAGACCCCCTGAGGTCTCCTGCTGCAGGTGACGCCTCCACACAGGCCACTGGAGAAGGGCCAGGGCCCTACACTTGACACCCATCCACCCATCTTGGCATGTTTGACTTCTAGAAGTAGGAAAGCCAGAAGCGGCACGAGGCAAAGGCCGGCACCTCACACCAGGGCAGAAGTGCAGGCTCAGGTGGCAGCAGGAGGCCCTAGCCTTCCCCACCCCTGTACCCGCTCCCAGCGGGCCTGCTGGGCGTGCAGGGTCCTGAGGCAGCAGAGCTGGGTCACAGACATGATGGCAACGTCACCAAGTACCATACCAGGCACAGAGAGGGAAGGACAATAGAGAACTCGTGGCCCAGCAGAGCAGACGTGTGCTAAGCTGTCCTGACGTCATCTCCTGTCACTGAAGCGTACCCAAATGTACCTTTACGCTGCCACTTTGAAGAAACGCAACAGGTGGGTATGTGACAGGATGTCAGACACAAAACTGAGGACCCCACACTCCAAAGAAAGCCATGGAGGCCGACGACACCTCAGGATTGATAGGACGTAGCCAAGCAGGCATTGCTAATTGCCATCACCCCCATCCTGAAGGCCCATCCACAGCTGAACAATTGATGGTGGAGAAGCAAGGGGTTCTGGAGGTCCTGAGACCATTTCAGAGACACGAGGACCAGCCCGCCAGGAAACCGCAGAGGCCAGGCCCCTTGCACAGAACCTTCAAGGAGAGTCTCACGCGTGTCCCACGGAGGATTGGGCTCAGATGCCCACACAGAGACAGCATCAACAGCCATCCGGGGCTGACAGTGAGGACCACTGGCAGAAGGTGCAGCCAGTGTGGATGTTCAGCCCCCATCCTGATCCCTCTACCTGGACTCCAACTTGGAGAGTTAGAATCAGCAGTGGAGGTGAAGGGAGAGAGGACAAACGCCTTTTTCTCCCTTCATGCTTCAGACTGGATCCTACATGGAAGCTTTGAATTGACCTGGACAGAACCTTTACAAACTAAATAGGACTAACATGGTCATGGTGCCTCAAGTATCGCTAAGGACAGGACTTACAGGGAAGCTCCCTAACAACCTGGGGCTGTTTGCCTGGAAGGTTTGAATGTGGCTGCAAGCAGGACAGGCCCATCCTTCCCGTGTACTCTCAGAGCCACTGCCTGCCCTGCCCTAATCTGCCCTACATCCTAAAGAACCCTGGAGTGCAAGCTCCCGGGACAGCCGGCCTCCTGGTGGGTTCAGCCAAAGGTGTCAGTGGCAGAGGACTAGAGGTCAGGAGGAGACGACCAGAGTTATCACCCTATTGCATCTGCCCCTCTCCTCATCCGTGCCAGCTGCTGAATGTCCTCTACAGCAACACCTGCTACCAGCCTGCTCCTCTCCTCCTTCATGGCCCCAGGCCCCTCTGTGCAAGTCCCCTCACAGATCTCACTCCTGCTGGGAGATTCCAGAACACAGGATACCAGTAGCATTAACTCTTCCCACTGTCTCTTCAGCCCTATGAAAAGTCAGCATTTTCTGCACTTGCTACTGAGTTCCTCTCCTCCTGCCTCAACCACCCATGACTAATTCCCTAGATTACAGCCCCTGTGTTGAAATTGCTGGAGTGGTATCTATTTTACAGACTAGTCCCTACTATCTAGTTCTTGCTAATGGGAATGATCCCAAGGAAGAGATCCTCCATTGAGATTCCAGTATTAGGTTGCTCACATGTCTGAGCTCAGATATGTTTGGGTTTTTTAAAATGATTTATTGATTGATTGATTTGAGAGAGAGAGCAGGGGAGGAGCAGGGGGAGAGGACAGAGTATCTCAAGCAGGCTCCATGCTGAGTGCAGACCTGGGGCTCCACCCCAGGACACTGAGATCATGACCTGAGCTGAAGCCAAGAGTTGGACGCCCAACCGACTGAGCCCCTCGGGCGCCCCTGTTGGGATCTTGTTGAAGGGGTAATCCATCATATGTTGAAGCTCCAAAATGGGTTCGTATTATCACGTGTGGCTGCTCCAGACAGACCGCTGGCTGAAAACAAGACTTTGGGAAATTAGCTGCTGTAGTCAGCTGTCTTGGCAGCAGTGATGACTACCAAGACTGTAGTGTGGGTGGGCCGGACTGGAGTGTGTTTGGAAAACCTGGGTATACCTTAAGGTATAGTCATAGAGCCAGGGAGCTCCAACAACAGCCCCAAGAGGAAGCTCTTATTCTATTTTTTTTAAGATTTTGTTTATTTTTTTTAAGATTTTGTTTATTTATTAAGAGAGAGAATGCATGGCAGAGGGAGAGAGAATCTCAAGCAGACTCTGCTCCCAGCACAGAGCCCAACTCAGGACTCTATCTCATAGCCCTGAGATCATGACCTGAGAGCCAAAACCAATAGTTAGACACCTAATCAACTGAGCCACCCAGGTGCCCTTCTTCTTCTTTTTTTTTTTTTAAGTTGTTTAAATTTATGTTTTAAGTAATCTCTACACTCAACATGGGGCTCAAACTCACAACCCCAAGATCAAGAGTCTCATGCTCTACCGACCGAGCCAGGCAGGTGCCACAAGTAATCTCTTATTCTTGGACTTACAAAGTAGTCAGAACTCAGGACCAGATTCCAAACTTGACTGTCCCAAGTTGTAAATTATGATGTAAGTTGGACATGCAGTCCTGCCAAGACTCTTCTACTAAGGGCAGGTCATAATTGAGAAGAAGAGGGGCCTGAGATTTGGGGTGGAGACATTAGAGTGAACCCCAAGTCAGCGAGGCCTTCTAAAACAACATAAAACCTCTCTTCTGTATGCAGAGACTGGCCTTGAAATCCTTGATTTCCTGAAGCAATTAGAATAGATATTCTCATGAGCAAATAAATTAAAATGGAATTCCACAGAATTCAAATAACCCAAATGGAAGAAAGACAGGCTGCTCCAGAGAAACAAAAATAGAAGATGACCTTCCAAATAAACCAGGTGGTGGATGTAATTAAGGAGTTCTCCCATCTGCAAAATGCCCTGCAGAGGCAAGAGTACTAATCCATGTCGGACTTTAATAAATCAAGGGCCTAGTAACTACCAAATAAAGAGTAAATATATTGATGATTATCAAACTGCAAAAAAGAGTAGAATATAGAATAAAAAATTTTCATCCACAGAAAGAAAATAAAAATCCCCTCCCCAGATAAAAATGAACATAGGACAGGAGGAACGAGAGAAAAGTATATTTAAGAGAGATAGTATATTTAAGCCAAAATATTTCACAAATAACATTGGATACAGGTGCCCTGAGTCCGCAGATGGCAGATACAATGCTAGTCACTGTGTATCAAAGCTGGGTGCCTGCGCTCCACCAGCTTGATCCTCACTGTTGGTGTTGACCTTGGTTGTGAGCCTGAGGTACTGTGGGTCCACTTTCTCCGGGGCAAAATCACTCTTTTTCTCCTGACTTTTTTTTTTTTTTTTTAGATTTTGTTTATTTATTCATGAGAGACACAGAGAGGCAGAAACACAGGCAGAGGGAGAAGCCGGCTCCCTGCAGGGAGCCTGACAAGGGACTCGGGACTGGATCCCAGGCCCTGGGCTGAAGGCGGCGCTAAATCCTTGAGCCACGGGGGCTGCCCTTCTCCTGACTTTTCTGCGCTGTGCTGCTCGGAACTTGCATGGAGAGCTAGGCAGCAGATCCCTCCATACGGCATCTCCACATGAACTATACGAAGGTGTCCTAAATGGAAGATGTGTTTATTCTCCCCTATTTGTTTATTTAATAATTTACCTCAATCGGTACGTACTTGGGGATATTGATGTTATACCGTGGGTTTTCATCTAGCACTGCCTTAGTCGCTCAGTCTTCACCCTTCACAGCTCTTTCATCTGGCTCCTGGATCCCTTTGACATTCTCTCATCCTTGTGAGTTCTTAAAAATTCATGAGTGTACTTCATGTTTTGTACTCCTATTTTAGATTTATAATGGATTGAGTAGAGAGTACAGAAAGTCCCACATAGCCACCCATCCCTGGCCTGAGGGTCCCCTACTATTAACATCTTGCATCAGTGTGGTGTATTTGTTACAGTTAATGAACAGCATAGACACACTACTATTAACTGGGTGATGGGATATTGTGATGAGACCATAAATCCCATGGTCATGCACCACTGTCTCATCTTTTCTGTAAAACGGGCCCCTTTGTGTGAGGCAGGGTTGTACGAGATGCACCTGCCTCTCCACAGTCCCTTCACCCCATGTGAGCATGCTCCTCCATGCAAGAGTCAGGCAGCTCTGTCCCCCTTC